GTGTGTGTGTGTGTGTGTGTGTGTGTGTGTGTGTGTGTGTGTGTGTGCAAACCATGAATTAGTATCTGCAGTTTCTAGTCACCCCCAGTTCCACCTGTTGCCTTCCCACAGGGGGAGGCTGAATCATTATACCTCACATCGGCCTCTGTTGCCAGGAAATTGCGACTAAGTAGACAGTGTCACTCTGCACTGCCTCTGACTTTTTTTATTTTTTATTTTTGCCTTTGTGTCAGGAGAGCATAACATCTGTTTCTCTGACCAGGTGTGCCCTGGTCTTTGGCAGGCCTCTGATGATCACATCCCTTGCTCATTCAATCTGGGTTTGCTGGGACACTGAATAGGGCTGAGTGGGGCTGAGCAAGCCTGTGGGGATTTAAAAGTGTGTGTGTGGGGGGGGGGTTGAATAGTGGCTGTTATTTCAGCTTCCTTAATCAGCCGAAGGGTCAGCACCTAGTGGGTCTCATATTGCAAGTAGATTGTTTTATTTGGCTTTATAGTGTTTAAGTGGGGGAGAGGATGTAATATTTCTATTCCTTGACTCCCCCCCTTTGGAAAAACTTAAAAAAAAAAAACCTGGCTGCATTCTGCCAGACTTTGGGGGCGGGGGGAAGAGCTCACAGGAGGGAGGAAGAAATGGCTGTTTTCTTTACCTGACACCTCACAGGTGGTCTCAGCTGTTGCCATCCCTACCACCAGTATGGAGTATGAGTTGCTGGTTGTTGACAGGCTTCGGGGTAGCTTGTTTACATTACCTGCTGGCTGTGTCTGTGTCAGCCTGGTGTACATAACCACAACTGACTCCCTCAGAGCCCATTTCCAAATACAGAGCTGTGGCAACGGAACTCCTTTCTGCCTGGGGAAGCTGAGCTCAGGGCACAAGTTCCTTCCTAGGCTAGCCTCAGCTGCTTACATCTGAAGCAAGTGTTCACTTTCCTGCCTGCCCCTCAGTTTTCCGTGCACACAGTGGAGTGATCCCTGCCCCCGCCTGGGGAATTGTTGTCCCAGGCAGTTAATATAACCCCAGATTCTTTAAATAGTTTAATGATTAATAATAAAACTTTGAGACTGTTTACAGTTAATCAAGCAGGTGAAGGGACCTCTGAGCAGGAGGAAGAAAGTGTCCTTGCTGATACTGGTTTCCATGGTTTTAGTTCCAGAAACAGAAAATGCAGTTTCACCGGAACTGACTACTGAGCATGTCTTTAGTTGTACTGTAGGCAAGGGATGTTTAAATATTTCAGCACACAGGTATTAAGTGGCTCTTCTTGGCTTTATTTATGTATTTGCTTATTGAGTTCCCCTTAAAAAGCACCCTCTTAAGACTCAGTCTGACCCTGTGTTTTTAGGTACTTTCTGGAGATCATGTGCTAAATTTCCTACCACTGGATGTTTCATGTATATTTCATGTTAGTTAGCGATCCTCTAGAAAAAAGCAATGGACTATATTTATATTTTGTATTTCTCTTACCAAACTTGGTTCTCAAGTAGGAGGCGCTCAAATTAGGAGGGCCTTAATTAGATACAGTGTTGTATTTTTGGTTCATTTAAAAAAAAAAATAACTCTACTGGAAAAATGTTGTGTTGAGGTTTCTCCTGCGTTAGAGTCAGTTACTAATCCAGTAACTCAGCCTACTTAAAGAAGAAGTGCCACCTGTACGAGACTCCGACCAACATGCCCATCCAGTGTTAGTAGGGTTCCAATGGCGGTGTAGCCGGGCAGTATATTGAGTGAGACCTCCATCTGTATGTAACAGATATATAAGAAGAATTAGTCAGTCTCATGAGCAGTTGTTTAAAAGTCCTTGCGCGACTCAGGGACAGATGTGGCTTGATATTTCCATAAA